CAGCTTGCAAACTTAAATACTCACTACACTGACTAACTAAGCTACTTTACTCTAGCACTAGTATTACTATAGTGCACATTATTCAAGTTCTTACTTAGCAAAGTTTGTAAGTATGCATAGTTACTGCACCTAAGGCTATACTAATATTACCTAGAGTCCTCACTAATCAGCTTTCCAATACTTTTGATGATTAATTCTCTATGGCTGCGGCTGACTTGCCATAGTTTTAACTACATGACATGTTTTGTAAGGCTGCACATGGATAATTTGTGACTGTAGAGAGGGTTTCATGTGGGGTGGCAGTGCTGGTTCTAGACTGAGAGGCACAAAGTCCACAGAGAGAAGGGCAGGATCAATAGGCCTGATGCTGATGACATCATATGTGAAATAATAACTTTGTGTGCTGTGTACCAATCAACTTGGTTTAAATTGCATCTGGCTTGCAACTATTGAATTAGAGAAAGTCTGCTAAAGAGACTAAGTTGATAAATTGTAGTTTATTTCCATGATTTCAGAGTGCACAGAGCCTAGAGGCTCATCATCGGACCTATTGTCATGGTCGGGTGGAAAGCTGATGACCTGGTATCGGGAGAAAATTGTATGTCCTGCATACCAGGTCTCGTTCCAGTCCCATATGCCTGTGATGTATCTGTAGTACTCATCCCAGATCTCCATGGCATTGGCTTGTCTGAAGATCTAGGGCCATAACCCTGGGGGTGGGATGAACTCTCCATCATACCTCTCAGGTAAGAATCCTCCCTCTGGACAGAGAAACTGCTCGAGCTCTGGGGCATCGGCCAGAGACCAGAGTCGTCAGCAGATAGTGCAGTTGCAGTAGGGATAGAGATGGGGCTCAGTATGGTAAAGCTCCTTGAGGATGTGGTTTGGGAGGATGATCAGATCCAGAAAAGGTTGGTTTCCGGCAAACCAATCGAGGAGCCTGTCTCCCCTAGGGGTGTCACCTGGGAAGATGACTCAATAGTCTTCACTGTAGGAGGATACAGAGCAGGTGTAGTAGTCTGGGAGCTCCTTGCTATTGTTGTCTGAGTACTTGGTGAATGCGACATAGTTGGGTCCATTGCCAATGATGTCAGAGGTGGATGGCTTGGAGATGTGGGCAAAGCAGGGCTCGGCAAAGTCTCTGAGGTCAGCAATGATAATGAAGTTCGGGGGAAGAACTTTAGATTCAGGTCAGGGAGAGGGCCAGATGAAATCCAACTCATGGATGGAGTTGTCGTCCCACCATGAGGGAGGTCCAGTGACTTTATAGGTTCCATCAGGGGTGTGTGACCCATAGGAGGTTGGGGCTGTGGTCTAGCCTGGCTCCAACAATTCATCTCCTCAATGTCCCTCTGCTGGTCCCTCACTATCCACCATACTATCCATTGTTTGTACATCTCATCTGTCTCCTTGTCCCTGGGTAGGGAGGAACGGGTCTTTGAGTTCTTCGAAGGTGGTTCTTCGCCCCCATGCTCTATCTGCCATCCTCCAGTAGTTTCCTCTGGTTCTTGCACTAATGATTCAATTGAATACATTGATGTAGAACCTTGAGGTTCCTCTCTGATAGAGCCGCTCTCCATCATCATTGAACCCTGGTATAACAGCTGATAACTCTGTGAAGCTGATTGATGGCTCTCTGGAGTTGTCATTGTTGTCTCATGTTGTGCCATCCCAGGACCCCTCCATGTTGGTCCAGTACTTGACTGTGAACTGGGGGTCTCCTGGGAAGTCTTCATTGTCTGGAGGGATGCCAAGTCGTCCAAGGTCTTCTTCCCAAAGGGAAACTTCTCCTTTGTGGAGCTGATCCTCTCCCTGAGGCTCACCTGTGTTGGGGTAGTTTTTTCTGTCAGGTAAAGGGTGTTGAAGTGTACTCTGCTCCCTCCTTGGCCTGGGTGTGATGGACCTGAGCCTGACGGTGCTCCCTGTTTGGGATGTTCCTATTGATGAGCCATTGAGTCCATGTACTCTCCCTCTTCCAGGGGTCAGTGCTCTTTGGCATCTGGTTGATTGAGTAAAATGGATAACTGTGACTGCAGTTAGTAGTATCAAGGTACTGAAGGTACTTCTAAAGATGATGGTAGTGTGGTCTGAGGGGGTGAGCAGCATAAAGTTCATGGTACCACAACAAACATTTATGATCTTGAGGTTCAGTGGGTGCTGTTTTACAAATAATGGGCTGAAGGTTTGGAAGTATAACAGTGACTGCCTTGAGGTGGTACAGTTATGGTTAACAACGGTAAGGGTAGTAAGGGCAAGCTTCAGCTAAATGTTAAGCACTAACTCTAATCTGAACCAAGGCTGGTCTCTATCCTGTCACTCATGTTTGGTGATTCAGTGTTAGAGAGGTGTTTGGCAGATTGCAAGAAGTTACAGCATCACTTAGGTAGCGAGAGCAAGAAGCTTTGTAAGAGTTAGGAGTGTATAACCTTAGCTGAAGCTGGGGTCTAAGGCTACAGCATAGGCTAGCTTAAATACATGTTAGACTCATACTAATAATAGCATCTATGGGGGCATGTGCAACCAGAAGTGCATTCTACAATGAATGAGGAGTGAGGACACTGAAAGAAGTGTGTCTCTGACAAATGAGAGTAAAGAGTGCATGTCATCTGTATCAATATGGGATTCTGTCTGAATAGACGATATCTTGTAGACCACCCTTGACTAGCAGTCGACTCTTGTTGAATGGCTAAGAAGCACGATGGCACATGCAGTATGTTGGTCATCTGGGATGTGGCAGCTGTGAACTGGGGTGACGGCAACCAGGTAAATAGGTAGAAGAGATGCCAGTGGAATATTGTAAGTCTGTAAGATAAGATAGGTCAGTCCAGGGTTCCAGAAGATAAGGATAAGATAAGATAAGGAAAATAGGGGTAAAACCATAATATTTAAGTTCAGCCCTAGCTCAATCAAAGTATTATAACTTTACCCCTATTTTCCTTATATTATCTTATCCTTATCTCCTAGAACCCCAGACCTACCTATCTTATCTTCTGGACCTACGATATTCTGTTGGCACACCTCCTACCCATTTACCCAGTTGCCATCACCCCACTGATGACTCACACATCCTGTATGACTGATGTTCCACATGTACCATCATGCTTCTCTTGATGGCATCATGCTTCTTAGTAGTTTGACAAGAGTTGACTGCTAGTCGAGGGTGGTCTATGGAATATGGTCAATACAGATGGAGTCCCACATTGATGCAGGTGATATGTGCTCTTTACTCTCATTCATCGGAGACATACTTCTTTCAGTGTCCTTACTTCTCATTCGCTACAGAGCACACTTCTTGCTGCATGCACCCCCACAGATACTATTCTTAGTACAAGTCTAACATGTATTTAAGCTAGCCTATACTGTGGCCTTAGACCCCAGCTTTGGCTAAGGTTATACACTCCCAACTCTTACTGATCTCTCTGTTTTGCATCTAACTTGTCCGTCACCATCTATGAGAACTCACAATGCTGTTCACCCTATGAATCACTGAATGCAAGTAACACATTGGACTCATGCCTTGTGCTGTTTTGAGTTGGTGTGCAATACAAAGACATCTTTGGGTCTCAAAAGTAAAGTATACCTGATGCAGAGACTCATAAGGAGGTTAAAGAGTGCAGGAAGAAAAAATTCTCATGGAAAGATGAACTGGTAAGACAGCTAGGGAACTTTTGACACCTTAATGAGTTTCACATGGTCCTAGTAAAGGCAGCTGATAACAGCAATGCATATCTCCCCCTCCACCTATTTATCTCTGAAAACCTCATCTACATACAGTCCATGAGTTTTTTGCTTCTGATAGTAAAAGTATACCTTCCAAGTGGCCTATCAGTGTGAATCCTAAATGTTGACCACCCAAGCTTTAGCAAGCAGTCAGAAATGATGGAGGTCCAGTATCATGATGCCTTTTCCTGAAACATCAAGTTCATGAGAAAACTGGGTGGTGGTATCTGGACCAGGTGCTGGAGTCTCCACTTCAGTTTCTTTTACAATATCATTGGACTATTCTTGGACTTTCCTACAGTACTCAGAACATGCATACACATGAGAAAGGACTACCACACTCACCTTTTGGCCTTGGGGAATGCATTCGTATTCACAGAAGAATGCTATAATTCATCCCTAGAGAAATCCAAGAGTGACATCTGCAATGAGGAGAGAGAAAGAGACTTGAGGGAGAAAGAAAGAGAGAATGTGTGGGCTGTGAAAGGCTAGGCTGGAGTCCATCAGTGGCATCTGCCAAGATGTCTTTCACTCTCACAGATTCTTCTTCCTCCATGGCTGCTACATTGGTAAAGAAAGATGCTCATTTTCTTTGCTCAGGCAACTCAGCCAAGCCTCTTGCTGATGTTTGCCTCATCTGCACCAGGAAGGGGCATAAGATCTCAGATTGCAGCTACCAAAATTTCAAGTCAGGAGATTCCACCAAATGCAAACCCTGTCGGAAATGTCCAAAACAGGTTATGGTGACATATAAGGTACTGTAATGCTGTAATGCCACGGTGGGGTTGATACGGCCCGATAAGAAACAAGTTCCAGAATATACGAAACCGTATAAGGATTGCTGTCTGATCTTATCGGCCATGATAAGATTAGTAATAAGGAAGCAGCCTACCGGACCGAAGATAAGAGCCGGCTGATTATAAGGTCATGATAACGTTCCCAATAATCCAGTAAGTGAAATCAGCATTGGAAAAACAATAGTACCATTCTAGTCCTCTTTCTAAGCTTACAATGCTAATGCAGTTACTAACAGGTTAAGTAATCAATTGGAGCTACTAGTGAGAAAAGTTACAAGATGAGGGATCGAACCAGTGACCTTAAGAATAATACATAAGTTCATGATATTAGTACAGTTAAGCTATATTGCTATATTTCTTTATGCAACCCCAGTTTACATGACACACTTGTGACAGGAATAAGCAACTTCATGCGCCTAACTTCCTTACCACTCCACAAGTGTGAGGCATTGAAAAAAAAATGTATTCATGTAAAGAAATATGCTACCCATATACATCGTCATTTTCTAGATCTCCTGCTTCCTCCTGGACCTGTGACACCTGCCACTGAGTATCAGCCCGTGTACCTCGACGAGTGGGCCTTGCATCATGCTGAGGCTGATTGGTTTGCATCTGAGTTGTTCCACGGCCATGGCCACAGCTGCCCACCTTCCCACGAGACTTAGCACCACGCGTGCGGCCTTTTGCTTGAGTAACATCAGTTTCTGTGCTGACTGTCAAATCAGTATCTCCAGGATTTGGAACAACATGGCCTTGTCGACTACGCCGAATTTCCGGTACCTCCTGTTCCTTGTTGGAAGGTGCTTCAAGCTGAAAATTAACCATTTTGACACCTTGAATGAGTTCTTGGACCTCTGGATCGGCAGTGACAGTCATCACAGCATCAGAAGGTGCATCATTAGCCATGGGAGTGTCTGATTCGGCATCTGATACATCAGCAAATGCTTTCTGAAGCTCGATGAACTCATTGTCATCATCACATGATGTTCCATGCTGGTTTGTACCTAGTCTCGAGGGCTTCTCATCAAAGAGAAACCTATTATATGCTGCGATGGTTTGCTTCATGTGAGATGTCGAAATCGCCTCAATGATCGTTCTCTTGTATTGGTAGTAGTCAGAAGCATAGTTGATGCCTGAGCGACCACCATGCTTATCAAAGCATTCATCATCAGAGAGGACAAAACGAGCCTGATAGTCACGTTAATACTGTAATTGAGATCAACTAAAAATAGACTTACAACAGTGGCAGCATATGCCATAGTCCCTGGCGAAGTTTCGGTTAATTTCCAGAGAAAAGCATTGGTTTGCTTGCTCTTGACAGCTTTTTTTGTGGACTTCTGTTTGAGACTGGTGCCACCATAAAATATAACAAAGAGAATCTGAAATATAATATTAGTATGAGTGATATAAATTTAAATCCGAGAGAAGGGGACAATGACTGTACCTTCATCAGTGTGGTGCTTCGAAAGATAGAGCATGGGTCACCTTTCACCCCATCTTCCCAAAGAATGGGGGGCAGCGATGAGTAGGTCTTATTTGATGGCCTATACCCGAGGAGGTCAAGGCAATGAGGATCCGTCAAAGGATCAAAATCGGTATTACTGGCGGATGGAACCAACGCGCCGAATATAGTGTGGAAGGCATCGTTTTTCACATGATTGAGGAAAGTGGATCGGCCATCAGAGGCGGATTTCAGGAACTTGAAATGAATCTCAGCAACAACGCAGTGAAACTAAAATGAGAACATACAAGTTTCTTTCCGGACCGTAATTCTTAGCAAAGCAGAAGTGAAAATTTTCCTTGAGTGCGGAGTAGATTTCAGCATAGAGTGCATCTTGCTCTGATTCTGCAGACGCATATCGTGCAGCACTGAGAATGAGGCCGGCATTTGCTGATGGTCTCTCCTTGAAGATTTCGGTGTCTTCTGGCCACAAGTCGATAGTGACAATGCAGCGCTTCCCAAACTGAAGAATAGTTTTTTCTTGCTCGGCCGTTAATCCAGAATCCGAACCTCTACCCTTAGACTTGGTAGAGCTTGCGGCTGACAGTTCGAGGAGCCTCTTTGCGTCGATGAGCGCATTGACTTGCAGCTGGGTGTCACGAAGAGTCTGGTTGCAAAGAGACTGTAAGCACTTAAAGGATGGTACTCTGAGAAAATGAATATTACCTTGCTCAGGTCCCAATAGCCTTCAAGGAGACGCACCACATCAAGAACACCGTTTGTGGAGAAATACTCTTGAATTTGTGTGAGATCGAGCATGGCCTGCGGCGGTTGGGAAGGGGCTGCATCTGAGGCAGACTCTGTGGGAGTTCCTTGCCTAGGAGTGACATTGTGTTGTTGTGGTTCAGTGGACATGGAGGACAATGAGAATGTATTACAAGTACTGGTGATTGAAGACTCACCTTTTAAACAGAGAACCACAGGAAGCCCTGTGAGTGTGAAGCGTCCATTAAAGAGCGTAGTAGCATCTTCTGCAGGTAAACGTACTGTTACACGATTCAAACATGAGTCGAAAATGCAGTAAATAGACCTGAAACGCACATGTGGGTTTCATGAGGCCCGACAACAGCTTGCGGAAATGAATTTAAGTGGTGGAGTAAGGCAGGGCTTCAGCATACTGTATTACAAGGATGTGTAATCACAGAGATGACTTCAACGAGGTTTCAGAGAGGCGGTGATGAGGCAGGACGGTAAGGTACATCGACAAAGGGCCATGGGTTTCAGATACTTTTGAAATACCATTTATCTGTTACTTTATATGATAAATATCCTGATCCACCCAAATATACATATTTGCTATATGTCTACTTACTACAGAATATTACGATAGCCTATGAGTCGTCGGAGTGAGTGGTTTGAGCTGTGGATGAATCTCAAACACTCATTCCGCTCCCTCAATCGCTGCAGTCTGAGCAACCGAGCAGTGATCGAGTGGCTGTGTTACTTCTTTTCTTCCCTTTAACTACCACCTCGCTGACGACTAACACCCATCTGCCTCCCCAACAGCCTTTTCGTGGGCTTGAAAAGGTATGTTCTCATATGTTTTCTTCTTCTTCTTCTTTTTAGGGTCGATTTATGCACCCAGCGGCCCCAACAGCCACACAGAGCGACCGTTCCACCCTCCCCACCCCCCGTGTGTAAGCCCTCTTGTGAGGCAGCACTAGACCTAGCTCCACGTGATGGATGAAACCACCACAGCCATCAACAATGACCACAGTGTCCAACAACGCCCCTAGTGCTGCAAATACGGCTCACCATCCCCATCTGACTCGGCCAGTTACCCCCACATCAACATCGGGGCCAATCGTGTCCACACACAGATGGACGACCCACCGACGAGTAAAAACGAACCTAGGAATCGAATATCGGCCATCATCTATAAGTAGGAGAGGGGGTATGAACCCGAATGGCACGATGGGAACGACGACGATGACCCAGATGATGGTGGCGACAATGGGAGGGAATGGGAGGGACCGGGAGGGATGTACAATGGTGCAGGGCCATGCTGGAGAGTAGGGGTGGGTTGTGGAGGACGTTCCAGGGCATGTGGGAGCGGGAAAGAGCAGGAGAGATTGAGCGGGATGGAAGGAGGAAAGTCGAGATGCCAATGGCCGATGACGAGGACGACTACTGTGTGCCTTGGACCATTGATGGACGACTGGAGTGCGCATTGAACGCGCCAAAAATCATAGCTGTACAACGATTACCACCTCCGCTGTTGCCTACCGCTCCCTGCCAAACATCGGGCTCTACCACACCACCCTGCCCACCTACCAACCCCAAACTCATGCATCTCCCATTCATTGAGTGGGAGATCATGATTCCGATGTTTTTTTCTCTCCCGACCCTGTCGACACCATCTGCCCGCCCACCATCCCGACACCCACCCTTTCCACCTCATATTGCCCCCCACAGCCCTCCACATGGGGCAACAGCCTCACCACTCTCATTTTCAACAATGGAAAATACAGTGGTGAAATCATTTCTGTTCCATTCCCCCCCCATCATCGTCGAACGGCCGCCCTGCTGACTTTTTTGCCCCTCACAAGTGGTATATCACTCTCCATCCCTACGAAATGTCATATTTCGTTGGCAGGGGTACTGATACCACTAACGGCTCGATGCCTAACTCTGCTCTCGATGCCTATGCCCTGCTGTGCCTAGCACGGCGAGGGGTATTATTTTTTTTGCCTTTTCTTGTTCCTGTGGGCACATATATAGAGTTTAATTTATCAATATAATAATGGTACTATAGTCTAGTTGGTAGAATGCCTTGTGTGTGTTTGTAACTTTGCTGTTGCTTGTGTTCAATCCTAGTTTGCTGTAATATTTTTATTTTCTTTACGCTAATTTATTCACTAGTAAACAAAGATAATCCAAATCAGATCATACAGTGAACAAGAATTTTTGATACATTAGTCTACAGCTGTATCTGTAATGATAGGGTGCACATCCATGATGTCCTTGACCTAAGGATCTGATATAGAGATGTGCACTGTATCTGTACTACAGTGGGTACATACGGTGAATATGGATATGGGCCCATACCATGGCTACTTTTGATGACCTAAAATATGGCCATATTCATACAATTAAAATACAGTTATTGGGAGAGTGGCCAGAGATAGTCTAATACAATTGAGGTAAGTACGGATGATCTTAATAAAGCATATAACACTCACATCTTGACTCTAGATATTTGTCATCACTGTAAAACTGTCTGTATATGGACAGCAGTACAGATATAGTACAGATTTGAAGTCAACTGTACCATACCATGAACAAGAGTTTTTATATAGTCTATAGCCATATTGTCTGTATCTATAATGGTACAGTGCACATCCCTAATCTGATATACTAACACTGATAGGACTTTTTAAACTGGCCATATGGTACAGTATATGGATAGTTTCATAACCATCTGAGACCATAATTTTATACCTATATATTGTATATTGTACAGTGTGCAGCCCTATCAATTATGATCTCCGATTGGCTGAAACCCGGAATTTATGTCAAAGCTGAGATTCGATTTTTTTTGAGTCAGAGAAACATGTCAGTATCAATGATATCCACAATGAAGTAATCCTGGCCATTATTAAGATCTGAGTCTGCATCTTTTACCAGGAGTGCACCACAAACAATAGAATATATAGAAACAAAGGCTGAATGAATTCGTGGGCATGCACGAACTCGATAAAATCCTAAATCTTTATCTCTTTGATGCTTCCAACGTAGATGGCCATCAGTTACAGGAGCATCATAGGGATGAACTAATGCCAATGAATATTTCTGTTCATTAAATTCACACTCAAAGAGTTGAATTAATTCTGCCACATACAACCCATCAGTAGTATTGACAATAACACCATCATAACGTGGATGATTGTAGAACATTGGACTACATCGTAGTAGGTCTGAATTCTGCTTTAGATTTATGTATGACTGATAATTGACAGAAAGAGTTTGATAAGTTGTTATCTATATAATTTCAATCTCAGTAAAAGCAATATTTGTTTAAATCAATGATACTAGCCTTGTCATTAGGAGAATAATGAATTTTTTTTTTCTTTTGCAATACATCCTTCTGATACTCGATTTAGAAATCCTGTCATGAAACCTCCAAGATGAATTCGAAACCGATCATAAGCTAAATCATGAGAAAATGCATTCTCTAGCTCAGAAAATGTGCTAGGATCTTTTGATGTCTTTTTAGGACTATGTAGATATGCTTTCTTTAAAAGACCATCAGATACATGAGTTTCAATAGTGAAATGTTTTTCTTCAGGTAGATCATCATCTGCATTGAGCAAATCAGATTTGTACTTTGTATGCTTTTTCCATCGATCCACCTTTTGCCGAATCTGCATAGCAACATTGTACCGATGGTCAGTTTGAAGAATCTAAAAGTATATTAAATTAAATCATATATCTTAAAAGAATAAAGTCTTACTTGATCAGCAACATTCTTAAAGTTTGTTCATATTTGATATGCCTTTTTAAGTGGTCCATGCATACTTTCGTTAATCTTGGTGTTATAATTTTTTGTTACACCTTTTTCTTGAATATCACTGAATAGATGTTGCTGTGTATGCATTTTTGGAATATCCCAATGTGTTGGATTTTGAAAATCACTGTCCTGAGTAGTTGTTATATACTCCTAAACATTTATTAGTATAAAGAGCTATTGATCAGTTTTATTAATATACCTTCATTCTCTCCTCAAAAACTTGTATTATTGATTGTCCAGCCTTTATCGTATCTTCAGTATGCACATCCATTGCTGCATACACATCCAATTCTAAATGACTTTGAATACATTTAAGAAGCAAATAACCAGCAGGATCCACAGCCTTTGTTAAAACTGCTTGAGCAGCAAAAAGGATTTGCTAAATGTATTATAAATAATGAACTTAAATTATAATAATACACACTTACTCATGACATATGTTCATATTTCTTTCCATCAGCAAAGTCAAAAGAAAAAACGGATGTGAGATGGGTAAGATTCCTCCATCATGGAAATGATTTAATCCTAATCAAAAAGATTTAGTTATAAGTAATTACTTTTAATATTTTACATACACTTCATCAATTTTAACTTTAGCATCTCAGCCCTTGAATCTATCTACATGCTCAATGAGCCGTGACAGCAGATGATCAAATAATCCAATTTGGAAAGCATGTAGTCTGTCCCAAGATACAGCATGATAGGGATTAGATCATTCTATTTCCCAAAAGATGTTCTGAACAAATTGTCAATAGCTTTTCTTGTATTTAAATTTTTTACTTACAGGTACTTTATGGAGACCATGTAATTTTAAAAGTTCTTCTGCTTGATCTGCATTAAGCAAACAAGCTCTATCATATATCTCTTTCATAGACTCAGTTGTCCGTAATGGATATGTTATTGAAAGATCTGATAGATTTGTCAATGGTATCAAGCAGACTGGACAGGGATAATTTGCTCTGCCACCTCTGGTCAATGTCATCATACAACTATAGCAATATCAGCTTGCATATATTATAAAAATATGAAATATACTAACTGTTCCTCATAATCAGCAGAGAGAATGAGAATAAAAGGATATAAGATTATAACTTTGTCTGAATTTGGTGGTTGAAAGGCATAACCACTGTGAGAATATTGTGCAAGAGATCCTAGAATTTTCCAAAAAGCTTCATGCCAGACAACTCGCTTGAAATTGATCCATGATGGCTTTCCTTTATGATCTTCTTCTTCTTCAACCTGTAAAAATCAAGATTCATAAAAAAAGCTGAAAAGCAAAAATATCCAACTCACAATTGGAAGCCATCCAACCACACAACCTCCACCAAAATTCTTCCCATTTCAGATTTGATCAGGAAGATTAGCACAGCATGCCATAACTGGATAGCCTTTAGCAGTACCAAATGAAGATAAACATGATTTATCAGCATACAAAATATATGCTAAAGGTTTTCCATTAGGAGGAAGAGAACTCTATAGCTAAATTTAAGTATATTAGTTAGATTGGCAATAATATCTGCTTACTTGAACTTCCCAAAATATATTTCCTGACCATGGTTCATTAAAAAACCATGTTCGAATGCCATTTTTATCTTCCCGAAATAAATGAACTGCATCCCATACAAAATATGGTGCAAGATCTTTATCCCGTAACAAATCAAGTGTCCAATCCCATAATGGTCGGTAGTGGACATCATAATTTCGAACTTCATTTTTATATGGAACTGATATTGTTTCCTTTTTGAACTATTGAAAACATAGTAATATTTGAGTATAAGTATATTAATAAAATATGAATATACCTTGGTAAACAAATTCTCTGCCCGTGACCATGCTTCTGCAAGATCATTCTCATTTCGGATAGTGTATTCTGTTGATTGACTGCCTCCACATTGGTCAATGATGCTGAAAAAATCACTGCATGCTTGGTGATTCATGCCTGTATGCAAAATGAATTCTGCTAAATCAAAATCCAACTGAGATGAAAATGGATGCCAAGGGTGGCTATCAAAAAGTGAACTCTGCTTGCTTGTGCTGTCAGCTAAAAAATCTCTGAGAGGCAAGATCTGAGGATCTAAAATAGCAGAAGGATGATATTCCTTGACAATCTTCTCATCAATCAGATTGACATGATCAATGGAATTGAGAATCAAGCAAGCTGCATTGGAAGTATCGTTATCTTCTGGAGTAACTTGATCATCAACTGATGAGGACTCTGGAGATGTTTCATTGACATCTGAAGATTTTGTTTAGATATTATATCTGATATCAAAATAATAACAACATACATTCAAGTTCTGTGCTATGATAATCCAAAGTTGCAGATCCTATAATGTTTATTGGTGTGAATGAGTTTGCTGTAGCTTTATAAAGAATAAATTCAGAATACTAAAATAATTGTAGACAAGCAACTTGTATATCGTACCTCTTGTCTGCTGGTCCAAATCATTGTGGAATTGAGAATCCGACAACTGCTGGTCTGACTTCTGCTTGCAAGCTTGCTTGTGATTTCCAATTCCCTGAATGCTAAAGAAGCAGCTGCAGTAAGGACACCTCTCTCGACGCTGAGGTAGAATATTTGAGGACATGTTGAGGTTGCAGAAGAATGATGGGGGAAAGATGGACTGAAGAAGCCTTACCGTGTACATGCATACATATAATCGTTCACCTAATCTCAGAGAAATCCTAGATCTCATATCAAAATGCATGTTCTGACATCATGATCTGCAAGATTAAATCAGTATCCCATGGATTTCATTAATAGTGTCATGAAAATCAAGTAAAGTAGCCCAATGATCTCAAAATTCAAAAAGAGTTGAAATCTGATGAAATAACATAATTGGCTTGAATTCCCTGCCTCCAATTTGCTTTCTGATCCCTGGATCATATACATACAAGCAAGATGAACGTGTTTCCATCATTCTCTGATGCCATCGTATTTATTCCTGGCCAACCAATGCCATCATTTGATTGGAATCAGCGTGAGACTCACAAGGAGCCAAAAACATCGATGCTGGACCAGGACCGAGGAACTATCCATATCATATGTGAAGAGGGTGAGTGTCTTACATCTATCCTTCTATTGATGCACTTTTCTCGTGTGTACTTGCTTCTATGGCACTTCCAGCTAATACGACGCATATAATGACATTATATTAAGGGGGTTACTACGGATATGGTAACCCGGACCTGACATGCCACATATCCTGCCGAGCCGTCGCTTATCCGGTCATTATATTGCCGGCTTCCTTATAAGGGTTTTAGAAAGTTTCCGACACCTGCAATGACAAATCTGATCCTGTTGTCATGATCAAAGCCACAGGTAAGCACATCTGTATCCCCTTCAACATCAATGCTAATAGACATGGCTAATGCAAGCACACAGTCTATCTCCTCCACCTTTCATAAATGTTTATGGTGTCTCTCCAGTGATCACCACACTTTTGCCTGGCAATGCAGGAAGGAGATCTGACCTCTTTCTTTTTATCCATAACTGAATTATTACTCTATACAATGCAGATGCTATCAAATTCTTTCTTGACCAGCTCAACCTTCATAATAAACATCCAGATCTCATGCATAAGCTTCACTCCAGTTTTCCAATGGGGAACTTCCCTGCTCTCTCTCAAACTGTTATTTTTCCAAAGTACATTTCTGACTCTGCTCACACTACTTTTATTGATCTATACTTTGAGGAGAAGGTGGCCACCAGAAGGATGAGTGGGCCTTTCTCTCAGGAGATGGTGGAGAAGATCCTTGTCTCTTTTCAATGCTCTCCCTGCTTGGTGAATATGCAGGATCAAAGATCAGGTGAGCCTCTCAAGCTTAAGGTGATTCACAACCTGTCCAAGGGATCCAAGCTCAACCCCTCCACCAATGACTATATCAACTCTGCAAATTTTCCAACCAGATTTGGTTCAGCAGCAGATGTCACAAAGATTGTAAGTACCTTTTCTCTCTCGATACATCCAATCCAAGGGGGTTGGGATCTCTCCAACCTTCTTCTGCTTTTCCTATACCTGCTTGGTTGGGCTGATCTATGTCTCACACTGATTGCATTGGCATCTGCTATGATCAATGATCCTGCTAGTTGCATCTCAATCTGAGACTGATTCCCTCATACTGATCATGTTTCTCCCACTCTCTCTGATACATGATTCAGATGCTAATATCTTGCTCTCTCCAGATCTCAGAAGCTCCACTAGGCACCCAAGCAATAACTTTTGATATCATGAAATTCTATTGAACATGTCCAATCCTACCTGATCACAAACTATACTTTATGGTCCAGGGCTCTAAGAGCTTCTTTATTGAACACACCTGCCTATTTGGTTGCTCATCTTTAGAGAGTAATGTGTGTTTGATAGCAAATGCAGTAATGGATATCTGAAGTGTTGTGAAAGTCTCTCCATCAGTCAAGTGGGTTGACAATCTCAATGTCTTCCGAATCCCTTCTGCTATCACTCTCACAGCTCATTCCTATATAAGTATGATATGCAGAGCACAAAGGATCTTATTGCTTAGATCAATGTTCCTTGGCATAAGGAAAAGTGGTCTGACTTTGATTTTTTCTTCACTTACATTGGCTTCTACTGGGATATCCAGGCAAAATCAGTGGCTCTGATATGCCTGCTGGGTGTCTACCCTTGAAAATGCATAAAAAATCTAATTTTATTATCATACAAACTACATTTGTAGCTGTACTCATAAGAAAGAGCATGTAAGGTATACAGAAAGAAGTGTTAAAAACCCACTGCATCAGTAAAAGGACTTAGCTGTGAAAAGCCTAAGGGCTCGGGCAACAGACTGGTGATCCAATGATTCAGCCTGAGTGACCGAAGGTCCAGGCAGGTCAAAAGCACATGGCTCCAGCTGAACCGGCATCCCAGCAATAATAGCCAGGGGCTTTGCCATGGCCCAGGGGGTAACCGGAAATCATGAACCAGATCATCAGGCTGCGGCAAGAGGTCATGATCGAGTCTACCTGGTAGCCAGAATATGAGCTTATACCTGCCTGGCTGCATCAGCAAGTAGCTTAGTAATACCTGGAGGATTGGAAATATAGGTAGAGTAGTATAGTATAAATACAATGCATGTATGAGTGGGAGGTCAGGTTTTTGGCCTCCAGAACACTACCAAGCAAATTAGTATGAGTTTTGGTTAAGAGCTTCGAGTCCTAGACTCACCTGGAATAGTATTTAGTGACCTGGTCATGTTTTGTGTGCAAGAACAGTTCAGAAAGCAGTCAGTTCAGAAAGATACAGATAGAAAGTCAGAAGTACAGTCCAGAATCCATGTTAGTACCAGTAAAAACTGCAATCAGGCAGACAGTATCAGTTCAGACACTGCACCAGGCAGCCCATTGGTACAGTTATTTACTGGTCAATGAAACAGCAAAACTGGATATTTACTGTAGATTCCAATTGGTTGTGAATTTTGACTAGGTTTGAATGCAAGAATGTGTAATACTATGCAACAATAAGATACAGTAAAAAAAAGATGCTCAAAGGTGCGGATACAAGTCCGTTTTCATAGCATTATCGTGGCGTGGGTATTCTGGGCTATTTTGAGTCATTGAAACAGTCCGGCCCATGTACCCAAACCTCATTAGTCAGCTACTCGGAATCGCTCGAGTGTTATAGAAAAGCGAGATCTCCTTTCAAGTCTCTCTCTGATATACAGCCTCAAAATCTTTGCAGATTTTTCTTGCACCTTTCTGAAGAGCACCGGGTAGTTTGGCAAGCTCATTCTTGTATGCAATCATTTGCAATGACTGCCTTTTCCATTAGCTGGTCATGGCATTTGCAAGCAATCTGGCACTTTTTCGAGTTTGAGTTAGCACATCCAGGCATAGTCAAAAAATTGAGCAAGAGGAGAAATAAAATTCGGAGGCAACGGGGTAATAATGAGCGCATTGGACTGTCAGACTGTCCATCAAAAGGTGATGGCTTGGCAGAACTGCACTTTTATTTATGCCCTAGACTCCTCAGATAATGGCTGCCTGGTCTTAAACCTGTCATACAGGTTCTTCAGATGGCCATTAACATTATTGAGGCCTTTGTGGGTGATTACATTCAGATGGAGGACACACATTTCCAGGTCAGATTTTGAGTTCGTGAGAAAATAGGTATTTTTAGAACAAAAGCCTCAATTTCTCGGAATATTATTCATGTCGCATATGAAGAATCACTGCAGAACATGAAGATACAATACACATCAGCAATGTAATACAAGTTGATGATGAAGGATGAAGGGAGGGAGAGCAAGAGGCTAAGTGTTTCATTGAACCATGGTGTTGCAATGACCGGTAAATAACTGTATCAGATTGTGTTCAGTAACACAGAAAGTTCAGATTTGTGTCACTTCAGAATATTTCAATCAAACAACTTATATCCATTGTCAACCCGGAACTAGTATTTACAGTACAAGTGTCAACCAGGTGTAACTTACCCCTTCAAACCACAATTGTTGAGTGTGTTAGGGTGTGTGTGTGTTTAGCACTTCACATTCCTTAGCATAGTTAATACTTTTCAGCTCTCCCCAAGACCAAGCACCTCAAATATCTGCAACATGTTCACAACTTTATTGATCTTTACTAATATGATTGAGCTCCTCTCTCACAGACACTCACACTGCAGGGATCTCTTGTCCATATTGCTTTTGTCCACCCACTTGGATGTCTCATCTCCCATTATTATTCTACTTCTCATCCCAATTCAATGGGAACAAGTCATCCCACAGATATCCCTTTAAACCTCTCATCAAGGATCTTCATTAGTGGGAAGGGGCCTTATCTTCTCCCAACATCTCACACTCACTCAAGCCATCAGGCTCTGCCCTCACTCTTGAGATTTTTGTAGATGCATTGACTGACTGGGCCACATTGTTCACACAGATAAAAACATTCACCTATCTCTCATCTATGTGGCTTCTGCCATGAACCCAGCAGACCCTATCTCATATGGAGATCTGGGCCTAGCTGATTCCAGACTACACTCCAGCTTCTCACTTCCAAAAGAGCTCATCCCTTATATTGCCCATGTTTAGGTGATACTTCTGATCCTGATTGATGATAACTCCAGGCTAATGGACCCACAGATTTGCTTTTATGAATATGGTGTCAGTATATACTGCCATGCCTGATAGTAGGGAACCAATCCAATCTTCATTGCTCCCATTCACTCTGGCTTACAAACTTCCCTGCTTCAAAGCCAAGCTTATTGTAACGAGCATGCCGATGGAAGTCCGACTTCCACTCAACCCAACAAACCACAGCCCGGAAACCTATGGATTTCTGATTCCCACTTTCTATTTCATATTTCATTTCATATTCTTTTATATTTCACTTCTCCATTACAATTTATCAATAGTCTGACATCGGTAGCAAATATGTCATCAGACCCCATCAGCTACCAACCGGTAGAATACATCCTTCAACAACCCTAGAATGTAGACCACTCCGAGTAGGAACTAGATTGGACTCCTAACCAGTATATAAGCCTCAGAATTACACTGTAGATACTCAGTTCAAATATCAACTTGGTTCAGCCCAATCTCTCTCTCTGACTCTAAGTCACACTCTTGTTCTCCAGTCTGCAGAACTCCAATCCA